AGGGCTCTATTTTCAGTTTTGAAGCTCGTAACAATTCCTTAGCACCACCTACATTTCTGTTGTCTGGGTATGATCCTGACCAAGTGACAACAACCACTCGCCCGAATTGTGGCAGCTGTTGCGTTCAACAGTCAAACCACTACCTTCCTGATCCATTTTCTACTCTGCTACAATAGATGCTGGCTGGCTTTCTCATGAAGTCTTCCTGCATAGGAACTCGATTACTTCAGGATGTAACTTGCGCAGTACTTTACCATCTTCGTTCCCTTTCCTAGTTTCGACAGTACGGCCGGAGCTTTTTCTGTTGCCAATTTGAGCGGGTATAGATGTAATTTATCATTGTGATTGCGTCATTCATTGATGAAGCAACTGTAGCTATGATGAATTCTGACATCTCCATTGTTACGAGTATATTCTCAAATTTAGGTTTTGAACACATATAGACTTCAAGTATTGTTTTAATGTCAATTTCATGTGATTTTTGTGGTTCTGATGAATTATCTAGCCTATAGTAATCTAGGACATGGATTTATATGTTTTTGTCGTCTCTTAGATTTTCCGATTTTTATTAGAGACATACTGACTTTTTTCTGGCATGCCTGCGGTACTTTGAGGGAATTATTGTCCTTGGTAGATTTCTCCGCACCACCGGCTTGTCACTGTGCTCACACAGCTGTCCGTAGCCTGGCGCAAGATTTCCTTATGTTATTATTTTACTTCATATCTAAATAAGCAACTTGAGTAAAGACTCTGATTTGATACTACCATGGAAATCGAAGACAAATTTTATACTTGCGAAGAGGTGCCTCGTCTATCGTTCCAAGATGCAAAAGCAATGCAACTTATTGCTGATGAGGTAAGCAAATAAAGCAATTAAACTAGGTATTAAAGTATCATGATTTATGAGTTTATGACTTTTGTCTTGTGAAGTTGTGAATTGTGAGATATAGACAGAGCTGGGCAGCGCTACTTTGAAATGTAGCAACTGCTACCGCTACATGCTCTTAATGTAGCATCGCTACTCGCTACCGCGTACCGCATGGTGCCAATCCATAGGTTATTCAAAAGAACCTGTTCTTATGTCATTTTGAACCGATCAACACTTCTTCTGTCTCTTATACACATCTAGATGTGTATAAGAGACAGCNAGAGGCACACAGAAAATTTTATTGTAGTCAAGTTTCAACTTGAAAAGAAGTCAACAACCAGCGCCATCTGTCGGATTTTTCTTCTAAGCTTGAACACATACGAGTGATACGACAGACTGAACCAAAATTTTGTAAACTTGTGACTGATAATCGGCAGATGCTGCCTTGTACATTTCTGTTTCCAGCGGTGGCGTGACTGGCATCTGAAACCAAAAAAATGCATGAGTGATAGCAGTCAGTGTATTATTTTTTAAAAATATCCTGTATTAAATTATTCATTGTCGTTGAAAAATATAAATTTACTATTAATCCAGGTTTGGAGTCGTTGTAATGGCTAAAAAATGGTCGTTAACTTTACAAAAAGTCGTTGAAATTCCAACGACTCCTGTCACTTTATGAAACCTGGGCAGCCGCTACATGTAGGTAGTGCGCTACTGCCCAGTGCCCGCCTCTGTGTAACTAGGGTAAACGCGGTATATTCCGACATTGTGGGTAATTCCGTCACCTCTCCAGCTTTTCCTTTATATTGAGCTTTGTTTTAGTTCCATGACCGGGCGATGCTCTTGCAAACGCATAAGTACTCACAATAATTCCCTGCCACCATGGCGTACCGCCTACCGCTACTGCCTACTGAAGATGTAGGTCATGTAGCAGCCGCTAAAATCGTACAATGTAGGTAGTGCGCTACTGCCCAGTGCCCGCCTCTGTGTAACTAGGGTAAACGCGGTATATTCCGACGACCGACATCGTGGGTAATTCCGTCACCTCTCCAGCTATTCCTTTATATTAAGCTTTGCATAGTGACAAACCAGAGATTTTTTAGAATCAGTTCATTTTCAATTTCCTCATTTATTCAAGATTTAAACCAATTTTTAAGTATGATAATGCTGGTATGAGTGGTATCCATGATACTTTACTGGTCTAATTATAGGACTCAAATATGAACTTGAGGGAGAGTCTAAAAAACTCTCTGCTTTGCCACTATGATTAGCTTTGTTTTAGTTCCATGCTAGTCTGGAAAAGTCCTATTTTTGTCTGAAATATCGCGACTCTAATATCAAATAATTTCAGTAGGTATGAAATCTCGCAGCTCGAATGTCATAAATTTTTGTTTGATTAAAAAATCGCGGTTTGCACTTTGCAAACATGTCATTTCATAAAATTTTCAACTTCCGCAATCCGCATTGCTT